GATCTATGACTAAAATTGAGAGTCTGTATTAGTAGAGTGACAACATGCAGTGCTGAGCTTTGTCATAATCGTTGAAGCATTTCACACGATATGGTCAAAATTATTTTTGACATCGTCACTGGAAGAATTGACTGTCACTCTCATATAAACTTTCGTCAAAATCTCATTCATTTTTTCGACATGCCAAAGATTGACCTAACCTAATAACAAAAAGTGAAATTCCATGAGTTCGTCTCTTATTATTGTTATCCATTCAGTTAAGGACGTTGATGCATGTTTACTTTGGCAGATCCATGGATTTATTTAGCTTTTCATTTCGTAACAAGCTTAGCTACTAATAAAACGTACTATACTTGAACTTTAATGTTTTTTTTTTATGAGGAAATGTATGGGAAACGGAACAAAACTATACATTTGATTGTCAAAATTTAAAAAATATTCTTAATTCGTACCAAGCCTGAGACTATGCAGAACAAAACCGCAAATCCAGATCGTGGGGACCTCAGTACAGATCGAAAGAGCAGTGGGGAACAGTAAGTTGTTAAGTTGACCCACCTTAATGCACATGTTTGTCACTGACCTCATTTTCACTGACAAATGTGATACTTATCTTACCAATCAGGCTAAGCCCTTGTTGTCCTTTACTGTCCGAAGAAGTCATCTACACTCTACTCGATCCATGGCCACACTTTACCAGCCTCGTAGTTTGCGATGGATCCGCAGGTCGTCTTCTACTTGGTCAATCCACCTTGCCCGCTGCGCGCCTCTTCTTCTTGTCGCTTTCGAGAACCATTTTCACTGGGTCGTCGTGCGGCATTCTTACGACGTGCCCAGCCCACCATAGTCGCTCAGTTTTTGCAGTATGGACGATGGATCGTTCTTCCAGCAGCTGGTTTAATTCGTGGTTCAGTCGCCTCCTCCACGTTCCTTCATCCATCTGCACTCTATCGTAGATGGTACGCAGTACAGGTCTCGTGGCTGTAGAGGACTACCGGTCTAATCAGCGTCTTGCATATCAACTTCGTGCGGGAGCGAATTTTATTCGACTGGAGTCCAAATTAGGCACGATTCCCTGCCATAATGCGTCTTCGAATTTCTCTGCTAGTATCATTTTCAGCAGTCACAAGTGAGCCCAAATACACGAAGTCGTCGACCCCCTCGATTTCGTCACCGTCAATCTGAGCTCTCCTTCTTATTTATTTCGTCTTCGATGCGTCGATGGCAAGTCCCATCCGCCTAGCTTCAGCCTTCAGTCTGATGTACGTTTCCGCCATCGTCTCAAAGTTCCGTGCCATGATGTCAATGTCATCGGCGAAGCCAAGAAGCTGGATGGACTTCCTGAATATCGTGCCACTCGTGTCTATCCCAGCTCTTCTGATCACACCTTCTAACGCGATGTTGAACAGCAGACACGAAAGTCCATCACCTTGCCGTAACCCCCTTCGAGATTCAAAGGGACTCGAGAGTGTCCCCGATACTCGAACAACGCACATCACTCGATCCATCGTCGTCTTGACCAATCGCGTCAGTTTGTCCGGAAATCCGTACTCGTGCATAATCTGCCATAGCTGATCTCGATCGATTGTGTCGTATGCGGGTTTGAAATCGATGAACAAATGATATGTGGGCACGTTGTATTCGCGGCATTTCTGCAGAACCTGCCGAATCGCGAAAATTTAGTCCACCGATTAAAGGCTAAACCGAAATGAACTGCTTGACGGTCAAGCAGAAAATGACATTTGTGCCGATCGTGGAAGCGATTTGGCAGACCCCTTTGTATGCGAACATTTCGGCTGCTCTTCCTCTTCCACAATTCTTGCGTAATCAGGTTTCTTCGACCTCCGATCAGATCGACCGTCGTGCCAGAAAGCGCTGTGGAAGCTAAATTTGCGCAATTTAGTCCACCGATTAATCGCGCCTGGTATTGCCCCACAAACTCTCTTGCAAATGGCGACATGCGGCGGCATAGAATTTGGGAGAGTACCTTGTAGACGGCGCTCAACAGTGGGATCGCGCGGTAGTTGTAGCTATCCAGCTTGTCGTCTTTCTTGTAGATTTGGCATACGATTCCTTCCATCCACTCCTCCGGTAATATTTCCTCCTCCCAAATCTTGGCAATTACCCAGTGCAACGCTCTAGCCAGTGCTTAACCACCTTATTTCAATAGCTCACTTGGTAGTTGATCTACACCATTTGCTTTGTTGTTCTTCAGCCGACCGATCTCCTCCTCAACTTCTTGAAGATCTGGAGCCGCGAGCTCGGTCTTTCTGCCGACGCTTCTTCCTTCGGCAAACCGAGTTTTGTCAGTTCCGCGCTTGTCTGTATCACTCCACATTCAATCTCGTGCGGTGTTGCAGAAGTCTCGCCCGTGCTGCATTCTTCTTCTATACTAATAGTTTGCATTCGCAGTCATTTCTTAGGTCCGGAATCACAGTACCTAGTGCCGCTGCAGCAGTACAATCAACAGTGGAACGGATGTCCCTCCAGCCATCTTCAAGAGTAGCTACGCCAAGCTGCTGTTCCGGGGGTAGTGCAGCGTCTAGCTGCTGCCCGTAATCCTGGGCAACTCCGGCGTTCCGTAATTGCTCGATGTTGAGTCGCGGCGTTCAACTTCAACGGGTGTTATGCACCGTCGAGAGTTTTGAGCACATGCATACTGCAACTAAGTAGTGGTCCAAATCTATGTTCGAACTGCAGTACGTGCGGACGTTGATAATTTTTTTTCCTTTTGGTTTGTTTTTTCCGTCGATCTTGTTTTCCGTGCTGAGCACCAATGCTACCGACGTGCCAGGAAGGCAGCTCCCACACCTGGACCCTACCTATCGACCCATCAACTCATGAACCGGGGACCAACGGCTTTACTTCCCATCCGAAAGAAGGCGTGATCAGAGATGTTATGCCTCAGAACATCCCGGCGGCGCCGACTGGTATTGAACCCAGGCCTACTGGGGTGAGAGGTAATCACGCTTACCACTACACCACCGGCACCGTTGGACATTGATAATGTCGGAGAAGAATTTCCCGTCGATTAGAACGTGATCGATTTTGTTTTCTGTGTGTTGGTCAGGTGATCTCCAAATGGTTTTGCGGGGGGAGATAGTACTACGGACTACCATTCGTTTACACATCGTTGACCGTTGTCTTTTACGGCATGCAGGCTGATCGGCCCAACTTCCGGTCTTTACATTCCATCCCGTTATACCTGTGCGTTCATGTTACCCAATGACAATTTTGACGTCCGTTGCGAACAGCCGTCGTATACCTGCTTCAGCTGCGCATAGAACGCTTCTTTCTCGTCGTCGGGTCTCCTTTCGTGTGGGCAGTGCACGTGGATGATGCTGTAGTTGAATAAACGGCCCTTAATTCTCAACTTGCATATCCTCCCGTTGATCGGCTGCCAACCAATCACGCATTGGCGCATCTTACCCAGCACTACAAAGCCGGTTCCCAGCTCGTTGGTGGTGCCACAGCTCTGGTAGAAAGTAACCACTCGATGCCCGCTTTTCCATACCGTTTGTCCCGTCCAGTAAAGTTCATGCAGTGCTACGACTTCGAAGTTGCGTGGTTGAAGTTCGTCATAGATTAACCTGTCGCAGCCCGTTTAGCCGAGCGATTTGCAGTTCCATGTTCCGAGTTTCCAATCGTAGTCCTTATTTCAGGGCGGCTTGTTGGGGGACCATCATGCACAGCTCTGTTTAGAGTCCCACGCTGGTACTAGGATGGTAATCAACCGATCCTAACATGGAGAACAGACGCCGTTTTGAGTCGCACCTCCATGGTGAACAGACGCTCGGGTTTGGTGAAGCATTTCCTCTATCACCGTAATGGATGAGATGTCGCTATTCTACTTACTACAGCCACTCTAGATTAAACCACAATATTCACAGTTCTCCATTATCAGCCCTGTAAACTGGTTGCAATAGATTACAATCTAGTTATGAGAAATTTTCAATGCTTGTTTTGAATGAATACGACAATGCTAATGCGTGTCAGTGGATTAAGTGCTAAAAGAGGAAATCGATGGTGTGAAAATCTTACGAATGTGATACGATGACGCTTGGATGCATTTCATTTTTATCTTTCCTAAACTTAAGCAACGGATCGTGATTTTAGTGTTTTTTTTTTGCTCTCAAACTTATGTATGAAATTTCCTGAAAATTTGATACTAATTGGTTGCATAACTTTACAAACTAAGTTAGGAAATTCTCCTATTGCGACCACTGTGGTATCAACAGTGTAATCCATGAGTCATATTCTAGACAGAAACGTGAAAGAAAGGACATATTACATCATAGATGGATTATTTTCTTAGACATTAAGTATCTCCATCCTCCTTATCGCCGAAACCATTCCCCTTCATGCTGATAAATATTTACAATCCTCATTTTAATTATCATTTCGTCGTTTACATTGCTGCTTCATTTTTGCTATTTGCTGCCTAGACCACAATAAACTGAGATAGGTGAGAATTGGTTGCATTATTTGACCAATATTTTGATTATTTACCATTCTACATTTTGCTTGAAAGTATCGGCATATTTGGTCATGGCAGCTCTTTAACAATCTGTATAGCGTTCTGATTCATATTTCTGACACCTTTATATTTCGGACATTTTATAATTATATCTTGAAATACCTATAATCATAAAAAATGGTTGTAAATCCGAGGGGTGACTCTACAGGAACAAGTGTGATATAATTTTAACGTTTATATCATGTAGGTATACAGGCATTACAATATATAATAAAATGAAGGTGTCCGAAATATGAATTCATACCGTTCATAAGAAACATTGGATCTCCCCGCAGGTGGATTCATGCACGCTTTTCGTCAACAGCACAGCACGGGCATTGACACAACGCAAGTCTGTGTGGTATGGCTTTATCACCTCATCACCCGGGAGGGCTCAGTGAACGCCAGAATCTTAAGAGAAGTGGATCGCGAGTTAAAAAAAGCCACTGGTTGTATTTTTTTTTCTGTTGTTGAAATTGGAAGATAAATTAATAGCGAGTTATAGTGATCAATTTGATCAATGGCTGGAGATTTTGAGTGGATTCCTTCGGCAGCTGCAGAGGATGCGATTCATAAAAAGGCGGATCGTGAGCGGCTCAACACGCTTACTGAGGAGTCGACCAGGTGCGGTTCGGTTTTTATTTGCATTACGTCGCTGGTGATAAGTTCTGTTTTATTTGTGTAGTGCTTTGTTTTTCATAAAACGTGTTTGCCAAATTAAGACTTTCAGTTGTATGCAACTCTTAAGTCTATCGTCTTTTCACTTTCTGTGCAGTACCCCTAGCTGGAATGTTACACTGTGCCAAGGGATAATTAGATGATAACCAACTACACAAGGAGTAGTGGTATTGACTAACAATGAGTACGCAAGCTTTACATGCGTTAAATTGCCTACAGAAAAATATCCTGACATGTCTGTTGTGTACACGGGTAGCAACTTTACTATAGATATCTAATACTGATATGGATTAGCTTGACAGAAGACGTAAAACATCAAGAAATAATATAAAAAATAGCATGCCAAATATCAGTTTAAAATCAAATTCTTATATTTGCATACCAAATAAAGACCTAAATTTTATTATGTTGTTATTGATGTATTGGGATGATATTGCGGGCACAATTTTCTGATATTATTCCTTGTTATGTTACCCCTTATGTCGTGTTAATCAATTTTTCGGAGTCAAGATCATAATTTTGAATGATTGAGATGTTTCTTCTACTCGGGTAGGCTACTAGATAATTACTCTTATTTACATTTACGACGTATCGGATACGCCATACCAACTTGTGTTGATCTGTGTGACTTATCCGATGCGTCGTAAATGGGAATAAGGATAAATATCTTCTAATTGACACACAGCAATTAATAGCCGGAAATGTCTTCCGGGGCCGTTCGAGAGATTCGATCAAACTACATTGGACCTTTTTGTAAAATGTTCAAAAAATGTTGTAAACATTTCAATAAAGGAAGACACTTGAGGCTATCAATCTACCATTATCTAGCCAAGGACATAATCCTCAAAAGATACAAAGCTCACCTCACTTCATTAGCCCTCGAGCACAAACGTATCGCTAAACAGGAAATGGTCAGGGCAAAAACCCTCATTTCATATTTGCTTCTCTGCATCCAAAAATGGATTGAAATATGAGCTGTTTACATTCTTCGAACCTGAAGATTTGTGCCGCTGAAGTTGCGTATTGACGCAGTAAACATTCAGTGGTATAGATTTTGGGAGGAAGTTTATGCTAAACTGTCGTGGTCTGCCAGTTGAAGGTATTGATGCCAGTTGTTGTGATGGAGTGTATTTGCTAACAAATATCGCATAGGGGAAATGGTTCTAATGTTGGCCTTTGGATCTAAGATTGGGCCCATCGCTAAAAATCTGCTATTTATCAATTTTATCTAGATGAACGCGTCATTGGAACGGTACTAATTGATATTTTTGGTCGCTATTGAAAATTTAGTCAATTGCTGAAATTATGTATGGGACCAATTTAGGGGCATTTAAGCCGACATTACATTCATTTCCCCTATATATGTGGAAGTGCTCATGTACAAGAGATGTGACGTCAAGTTGCTAGGGTTGTTATTACCGGGTATGCTTGCCGAAATCCGGTTTTTCGGTATTGAGAAATTAAATACCGATAAATTACCGGTAATTGATAAAATTTACCTTAAATGGAAAAAAGCTAGTCATAGTCAGCAAATATGCAGTATTCCTCCCATCATTTATGTAACCGATATGATTGAGTCTTCATAGCATATACCATATTGATGAATAGTTTAGTCGGTAAGGGCGCAACTATACAGCAAGGCCATGCTGGAGGCGGTTGCGTTCAATTCCCGGTTCGGTCTAGGAATTTTTCGGGTTGAAAATTTTCTTAACTTTCCCGGGCAGCGTTTGTTTTTTGCACCATAATATTTACTAATGCAAAAATGGTACTGGCTTAGAAATTTCACAATTAACAACTGTGGAAGTGCTTAAACAACACTAAGTTGAGAGTAGGGTTTTAAAATTTCCCGGGAATCCACTTCAGGGAATGGGGAATCTAAAAAGGGATTTCCCGGAATTAATCAAAAATGTTTAAAAATTAGCATAATCAAAATTACTTTTGGTGGAAATTTGCGAATAATTATTGTTGCAAATATTTGCGGATAGAAAATCACGTTCACTCACATTCAGGTGCCAACATCAACTGAATGTGAGTGAACGTGATTGAAATGATACAAATTAGTTTGAAATTTTCGAAAATACAAAATAGTAAATTGCACCTTATCAGGGTGGCACCTTCAAGTAAAAACCTTTAAAACCTGGAACAATCAGGGAGTTAGAGAAGACCTGGAAAGTCCTGGAATTATCAGGGAATTTTGCCATTAATCAGGGATTTTTTTATAAAGAAAGTTCAATAGAGTTCTAGAATTATGAAAATAAGTCTAGGCCTATAAAAGTGTATTCAAGTCCCAGATCTTTAAACTATTTCATGGTTTTTGATTTTTTTTTCAATGCCAAAGATTTCATCAAATTTTAAAGTAACTTGACACTTCTTCAATTGAAATTTTGAAAATACCTGTTTGCCCCAGAATTATGTTATTCTGTATTTCAAATTTTGTCTCAGCAGACTCATAATTCCCTCTATAGGACGTTTCGATCTTGGAGCGCAAGAGCGTTGAAGCGTGTGAATCAAAGTTCCTTTTGATTCTTTAAGATTGTTAATCCTTAAGCATGAGCATGAGCATGATTGACCGCCCGAGGATGCAACTCTGTTTTTGCCAGATCAGCTGTTATTACACAGAGAACCAATAGACGTTGCTTGGGATTAGCATTCATCCGAAAGAAGTTTCTTCAAGCAAGCCGTTTATTCTGCAGAAAGCAAACCATTGTCTTCACGCTCCTGAAACGATGCCATTTCTATCAATAAAAATAACTTACAATCTCGTAACAGATTCGCGATAAATTTGTTTTCGAATTGCTCCTGTGCCGCTCGATCGGCTGGGCGCTTCACCGGATTTTCAAGCACTTTCAGTGGACTTGGCACTGTTTCCAATCACTGCTGTCACTGAGGAGTCCTCTGGGGTTTGTATGCTCGTGCCAGCTTTTGCCCAGAACTGCAGCAACTTTTCTTTTTGACCCATGCTTCTCTTGTCAAGCTCTGAAACCTTGGTTGAAATCGACGATCTAAACTCTTTGGGATCCTGTTTTTTAAGCTCATTCCATTGCGCCACAGCTTCTTCTTGTGCCTGCTTTTTTGTTTTGAATGGGTAGGCTTTTGCTGTCAAAGAATTACTGGAAAAGCTGGTTCGATCCATTTTCCAACACTTTAACGATCGCATGGAAAACAACCAGCACTGCCGCGATGCGTATCGAACATGCAAACTTCGAATCGGAAAAAGGTAAACAAACAGTACTCTACACGCGACGGCTGTATATTGTTATTCCTTAAAATTTAGTTAAATGTAAAAGTTTAACGAAAGTAAAGAAATTCAAGAAAGAAAATTAAAATACATTTATTTTGCAAACAATTTGATGTGATGAATTACGTAATTACGTAACAATAAGCGTTACTTAATTTATTTTGTCTCCTTGTTACGTAAGGCAAAGCCTTTATCACCACCCCCTCCCTATGTAACAATTCGTAACGATAGAGGTGACCCCTTCCCCCTATAAGCGTTACGTAAATTATGGACGCCGCCTAATTCCGGCACAAACTTGTTTGAATTCCCCTAGTAATCCTATACAGCGAATCTAAAAACATAAAGCAACCAACGATACAGACAAAACGGTTGCTACGACTACCATGACAAACTCGCTCTGTAACATAGCTCGATCGGAGTGGTAAAAGGATAATGATATATTCACCCATATTCTTGTTTTCATTCAAACCGTATTTTCCATACAAAAAACTTTTTTTTGTATGGAAAATATGGTTCGAACGAAAACAAGAATATGAGTGATTGCTTGCCAGCTTTGTTACAATATACACGGATGAGGACATAGATTGATCTGAATCGAGAAAAGACATAACAAAAAAATTCTCATTAACAGCTTGTAAAGCAGCTTGCCAACCATTTGCTTGTTTCCTTCTTCCGCCCTGAGTGAGCTGTGTCGCACGGGCTGCTTGTCATGAAAAAAAGGAAGAAGATTGTATCATTATTGCTTTCAAATTCTGACAGAGCGTTATCATTCGGTTCGTTGATCGCTTGTCATTTTGTCATTTGAAGATATTGTTGATTCCTTGATCCTATATATAGAGATTCGCCGAAGCAGCCATCTTGAGCCAATCGAGCAGCAAGAACTGTCAAAATGTGAGCCAAACGAGCCTTATTATTAGAAAATATTAAAAAGATTTCTCATTGGGTTGAAAAGTATTGTAATCGGGATGAAATGAATTCAAACAAAACGTTTATAAATTTATAAAAAAATATTATAGACGTTAAATGCGTACGTTAACATAAGAGAGTTTTAAGCATGATTGACAATTAAATAATAAATTGTGTATGGATAATGTTTATACATTTTTCAGTTCGGTTACTATAGGTGATTGCATCTGCAACTGGACAACCCCAAAATGCAATAAAGTGTGATAAAAAAGCACGATTCCGTCAAACTGTTACGGTGTCTTCAGAGCACTTATTGCTTGTATCATAAGGAATGAGTGCACCCAAGACAACAAGACGATTAGAAGAAAACTCGCACTTTTATCATCCTTTTTAATAAGTGAAAACGCACTAATTTGTCAAGCTTGGTGTGAAGTGCGCCATAAAACCACCGACAAACCGACATGAATGACCATAGCAAAAACAATAACATTTTAGACCAAAGTACACTACTGACATCTGTCTCCGGGATCGCGGTATTTTGATCTATTCTGGACATATTATTTTTTATCTAGATCAAAAAATCCTATGGTTTTCACAGTTCGGATCACTGCACATTTAAATCGGCTGTTTAAAATTGTTGGGCATAAATCAGAATTAAGTGTCATGTCGGTTTGTCGGTGATAAAATTATACGCAATATTTCTATTTTCCAGCAATATATATTAATTCTTTAGCAAAATACAATTGCGTGTTCCCACTTCGAGCTGGAAGAAGCATTACATTTTAACTAAATAGATTCCATCAAATAATTACCATTGTAACATACACTGCACAAACGCATAGAATCCACTAGGGAAAAATCTGACGGTAGTCCGCAAAACTCCGCCATTTTAGGTTTTTTTCAGAAACCGGAAAAAGAAACCTCACAGTTTTAAATGGTTTTAACACGTGGTTGCACTTCCACGACCACGGTTCTCCAGTTCACTAAGAATTCAAACAACGCAAAGAATCAAACTCATACAGTAGACAACGATAAAGTCACGCACAAACCTGGAACATTTTGCTCCGCGGCAAGTGTTGGCAGCTTGTGTAAACAAAGCAAATCACGTTGCCAAATTGTCTGATAATATTGCCACAAATCTCTGTATATAGGATTTCCCCTAGTGAACAGTTATGCGAAGTTTCATGCAATTGTGAGAGGGAAAACTAAAATTGATTCGTCAGTTGTACTCGATTCGGTTCAGCCATCTCCAAGAAAAGTGGGACAATAACAAAGCTTCATAACGGAATTTAACTGTTTTGTTCATATCTCTGGATTCAATTTCGTTTGTTTGTTTGATAAGGCTCAATCGAGTTAACTTTACAGAGCCGAGGATTCTTGTTCATTATACAATACATCTTAAAACTATAGTCAAAAGGTACAGCACAATAGACAATTTATCTTCCGCTATCCAATAGGCCTGCTACATCAGAACGGAAGCCGCCTCCAGTGATTTTATTGTATGGCAGTATCGCCAACGGGGGGCAAAGCGCTTCCATTGCAGCAATGGACGTAAAACGTGGTCAGCACTCACACACTCATCACGAAACGGTTGATTACCAAAGTCGACGACGCATAGACCGAAAGAATTGCTGATGAAGAACAATGAGGAGGACCACCCAATGGCTGCTGCCGAGTAAACAGACGATCGCGTGACACACAACGAGAGTGGCCTGCTTCTGTCGACAGCTAAGTGAACACTGACCGGAGTCAATTGTCCGATCGGGATACACTTCAATAGCGTTTTATAAACCGGTGTAAACTAACGATTTTAAATTGGCTCACTACTTGACTAGCCTATTGGTCCCAAGCAAATCGATTACAGTACCCCATTCTAGTTGAAATTCTATTACTACACTATGTTTGTTTTGATTCGCTATGAAAGTTTGACAGATAAAATGAGGTGTTCGTGGATTTTCCTATGTTTCGAGGGGTGTATCGATTAGCTTGGGGCCACCAGAGTGAGCCAAAAAGCTGAGTTCATTTCTTCGGGACCTACTAGTCTTAGGGTTACCTCTATGGTTTTATGAGAGCCTGAAACATACAAACCGATTCATCAATCGCCAAGAAAATCGAGCGAACATATACACATACACACACAGAGGCATTTTCTAATCTCGTCAAGCTGAGTATTGGTATGTCAGTCCAGACCTCTGTCAAAACGTGTTTATCAAGTGATATTATAGCCTTTCGGTACACCTTTGTGTACGAAAAAGGCAAAAAATATGTCATGGCTGCTGATAGGGTTTTTTCCTATGGGATTTTTGTTCTACAACTCGTTATTTTCTATATCTCGATGGTCCCTACAATATCGAGTTGGTGAGATAACATAATTTTAAAATAATGTTTCCAAAATAAATATCAAAAACTAAGTGTATCCATGTTGTTTCAATTTATGGTGGTGTGCGGACCATAGATTGAAACATTTAAATTCGGTTGAACCAATAAAACGAATTGAAGGTCGAAGTCAAAATATAATAAAAGAGAAGATAGATTATCTTAGCCTCTTAATCGCAAAGTACTGCTTCATACCGAAAACAATCAATGCTCTCCAGTATTTGTTTACACTTCCAATTTGAGCATTTTTTTTTTCGAAAATATCGAAGTTCTTCTTACTGCAATCAGTTAACGAACTGGATTATACCAGTTCAAGATGGTGATATGGAAATCATAGAAAATAAAGTACTGTAATCTGGGGACAAATTGATCACCGGGGTGAAACTTGACACTGTTTTATCAAGGGACTCTAATGATTGTTTTTATGATTTTTTCATCAAAAAAGTATATTTTACTGCACACTTTTTTTTACGTTCAATAGCTAACCTTGTACTCATTCAATCAAACGATTATTAAACTGCAAGGACTGTTGTCATTAGCGCGGAAGTGGCTAGAATATGTTGCTTGAACTCCTGGAGTAAATTGGAGATAACATCAACCAGTTGTTTTATTCAAATAGTACTGTAAAGTTAAGCGTCATAGATAGGAGCAAAAACACGTTTTTCAAAATGTCCACAGACAAACAAAAGTTGGAACTCACTTTTATGCGGATAGACGTGGGTTACACGCGATCTTTAACCATACATATGAGGTACATTGTGATTATAACCAAGTGCTACATTTATATATTTTAAGATATTTCAATTTTAGTAAAATGATATATCAATTTCTGTTAACCATTGCCATGAAAGTCATACATATATCATTGATTATTATATTTAAAAATATTTTCCTTGTTAAAATATGAATATTGTAAGGTAGGACACGAACATTTTCGATTGTTTCAATTCACCCCATTTACCGTAGGCTGTACTTAAAATATTACGAAAAAATAGTATCCAATACATAGTTTTAGAACCTTCTTTAGAAGCTCTTTTAGAATCTTTTTCTTTAGAGCTCATACAGTAGTTTATCTTAAACACTTGCCCCTCGCTGCTCTCCTCTGACTAAAAAAAAAAAACACGGGCAGGTCAGTAAATCTGAGTATCTACGCAGTACAGAAGCATTTTTCAAAGGTTTGTTACAAAGACCATTATCCGATTCCTTAAAGCAACTTATTTTAGTACCATTCGTTGGTCAATGTTCTTTTGCATATAAATTTTCTTTAAGTCAAGAGGGCAGTTTGCAGTCAGAATGAAGACATATTAAAATAACCTAATTTAAGATAGGGCGTTTCTCTAAATTAAAATATTTGCTAGGGGAAATGGATGTAATGTCGGCCTATATACTCCTAATTTGAGCCCATACATAAATTCAGTAATCGACTAAATTTTCAATAACATCCATTAGCACCCTCCCAATGACGTGTTCATCTAGATAAAATTGATAAATTGCAGATTTTTAGCGAAGGGCCCAATCTTAGATCCATAGGCCAACATTAGAGCCATTTCCCCTATGTTTCATTTCAAAAAAAGTCAAAACACATGAAAATTTTGAAAATTATGAAATTTTTTAAAAGATACCAGTTTTAAGCAACATTCATCACTATTAATTAACAAGCCATTGTTTTATAATGTCAAGCCGTACGGATTTGTCAAAGTTAAATAACATGTGAATAAATTAATCTATCCAACCGTTTCCAAACATAATTGAACTCTGAACAAAATAAACATCTTTTTTTTAGATACTGACCCAGGGTGACACGTTTTCCAAATATAATACTCAAACATATGTGCTGTACATATATGAAGAAAACTCGCTAATTTTTGCAAATGTGCTTGAGTTCCAATTAATATATTACAGAATCGGTCAACAATTTACTCATATCATCAATTTTAGCAACAGATCAGATTGACTCTTTGTCTTCTTCATTGGCTATAACGTCCCAACTAGAACCAGCTCTTCCTCAGTTGATGATTGAGAGCTTAAGATGCATTCGTACATTCTTAGTCAAATCAAAAAAAATCCCACACGAAAAAATCCTCGACCGGACCGGTAATCGAACCCTACAAAGTTTGATTTACTGTGTCTAACTAGACTCTCCGAGGGCCCCACGTTATTAGCATTACCAATTCACACATGCCCGATTCAGAGAAATATTACTCTGAGTGTGACTTCAAACCGACCAGTTACGAAAAGTACTTCGATCAAGTTGCCCAGCCATCACAAACCATACGGATGATCACTCCAAAAATTCAAATAAATGGTAGCGAAGCTACAGACATATCCAGTTCCTTCTCTTCACTGGAAAGTGAAATAGAAATTATGCGGCTCACCGAAACTACGTAACAGCTTATAATTAGTCATCTTATTTTCCATTCCTCATTTCTCACAGTGAATTCCCCATGTGTCCGGCGATTTACATTACCGAAACTAACTCACCCCCAAATAATTAGTCATCACATTTTCCATTCCTCATTTCTTACAGTGAATCCACCGTGTGTCCAGCGATTCATATTATCGAAGCGAAATCACCTGCAACGATGGAACTGACCCCAACGATCCAACAGTCGCCCAAACTTACACCTAATGTCAGCTTTGCTTCACGGCCCGATTGTCGACGTCCCACGGGCAACAGTTTATTCGGGGACGACCATCCACAAGACAGCGGTTCTCGACGGCCCTCGTTCTTTGGCGGCTTTTCTAGGGCGTCCTTTAGTGTGCACAAGAAAAATCTGATCGAATTCCTGCAGCATCACGGTAGCAAGCTGTCGCTGAATAAGAAGGATGATACTAAGCATGAATCGCCTGAGTATAAGGAGATGCGGGATAAGAACCGAGCGGTGGCGCAGTAAGTACCAACACAGCAATAGTTGGTCGATTTGATTTTGAAGTCCTACCTTCATGTTTTCATATGTCGTTTTCGTTTTTACTACACTACACCGGTGTAGTGTAAGCAGCAATAAGCGCGAGTTATTGACAGCTCATCATCATTTCGACAGTGAGCATGCATAAGGGCGAATACGCGATGATCGATTCTCTTCATCGATTTTCTCTTTGCATTGCTACAGCTAAGCGAAACAATTTTCTGGAATTTGTTCAATGCAGAGTTGTAATAGGTTGTATTGGCTATCTAAAACAGCAGCAAACGCACCGAGAAACGTTAAAGCTAGCGAGTTATTAACAAAAGAGAAAGAAGAGAATCGATCATCGCGTATACGCCCTTATGCATGCTCACTGTCGATTTGTTTGTAAGCCACCGAGAGCTATCACCCTAGGTGTTCGGCGGTGTAGCACCGGTGTAGCTACACCGCAAAAACGAAAACGACAATAGAGATTAGGGTTGATACATATATTATGCCACGCTCTAAGGGGGGAGGGGGTTTCTAATATTTTGAGACAAGCAATGCATTAGATATAGGAAAAACGTCACGATAGGGGGGAGGGGGTAATTTTTTGTTCGATTTAGCGTGACATAATTAATGCATGGGCCCTTAGTGACGTTTAACGGCCGCATATTAGCAGGTGCATCGCCGTGTTAAGTTGTTTATTATTTTCCTCTGACTAACCTAAAAAATGTTTGAAATTAGATCTGTCAAAATGAGTTTGACATTGATTTGTTATGTATTTTCCTCAGTTTTTCAATAACACGCTCCCACATATCGCACCAATACAACCGGGCGTGAAAATCTCTGATGGGGAATTTTTACTTGCGCATTTCATAATTATTACCGACTTCGGTAATTTTTTAACGAACTTTTAACAACTGAAAGTTCGGTAAATCTTTGACCCTCATACCAAAAGCTGATTCACAAAATTTTAATTTCAAAACACTGTCAGTCTGTGCAGTGTTGTCCTTAAAGCTGTCTATTAATCCTATCAAAAAATTATCGGCTTCTAAATCAATCAAATTATCAAAATCAGTTATTAACATGAAGTTTATTTAAAAAAAAGTGATCTTCAGCAAAGTTGTAGTTGATAAATACCAGGTAGCAATCTTTTGCGTAAATCATTATGTCGACGGGCGAGGACATTGAAAACAAAAAGTACACTTTTCACATAGTAATTCCCATATAAACTTGAAAGGGAGTACGATCTGATTAAGAATCGATTGAGCTAGGTGAAGCAAAATCGTTATTTAGAACCACTCGCTTCCTTAGGGCAAATATTTTAATGGGTGATGGAAGATTTGCCGAAACAAATTGTTCTGCGCATATTTTTTGTTAAATTATTCATTTATTTGATAAGGCTCAGTCGAATTAACTTTACTGAGCCGAGGATTCTTGTTCAATTTACAAAACATCTTAAAACTATCATCAAAAGGTACAACACAATAAACACTTTATCTTCCGCTATCCAAAAAGCCTCCTCCATCAGAACGGGAGCCGCTTCCAGTAGTTTCTTTGTATGGCAGTATCGCCAACGAGGGGCAGAGCCCAAGTATCATTTCTGGTTTTATAAGGTTTCTGTAGAGCATGATTTAAGCTTGTAGAATGCTATGAAACCTCGATAAAACTTGAAATGTTTCTTGGGAGCGCATTCATTGCAGCAATGATCACAAAACGTGGTCATTACTCACACACTCATCACGAAACGGTTGCTTTCCAAAGTCGACGAGGCATCGGCCAAAAGAACTGCTGATGAAGAACAATGAGGAGTACCACACAATGGTTGCTGCCGAGTAAACAGACGATCGCGTGAAACACATCGAGAGTGATCTGCTTCTGTCGACAGCAGCGTTGCCAGAATGTTTTAAAGCTTATTATTTTCGGAAATTGCCTGAGTTTCTCGGAACTCCTTTAAAATTTCAGTGGTTTCCTTGAAATTTATTGATCTGTCCTGATGTTCTCGCAGCTTCCTAAAGTTCTCTCCTGAAACTAATGGAGCTGTTTTGAAAACCATTAAATTTTCCAGAAGTTCTTTGGACTTGTGAAGTATCCAAAATATTTATGATGTTTCCTTAAGTTCACTGGATTTCGCTGGACTTTCCTAAAATTTCCGGGTTTAGAATTTTAACAGAAGTTATTGAAACGTTCTTTGATTTATAGAAACTTACTCAAAAGTCTGGACTTTTCTGAAGTTTCAGAACTTCTTAAAAGTTCCTGCAGATAATGTGGATTCGCAATCAAAATCTGGAAGCATCCCTGAAGTTCCGGGAAAGTTGAAAAATAAACTGGCGGGAGAAGATGGAAGAAACATTCGAGCGAAGGCTGAAGAAGCTTCCAAGGGAAGGCGAAATAAGTTTCCGAGAGGAATCGAAAAATAATTTACGATGTATGGTGGAACAAAATTCCAGTTGAAAGTTGGAAGAAAATTCAGGAAGTTTAATAATGTTTAAAAAGTATTTCCCGATTCCCCCGGAATTACCAGAAAGAGCCATCGACTGTTTACCGATTCATGGGTAGCCTAAAACGGTAAGGACATTCAAACATTCATCGAAAGAGTATCCATAAGACATGGGACCTCCCTTAGCTCAGTCGGTAAAGGCACAGCTACAAAGCAAGACCATGCTGGAGGTGACTGGGTTCGATTCCCGGTTCGGTCTAGGAATTTTTCGGGTTGGAAATTTTCTCGACTTCCCTGGGCATATAGAGTATGATTATACTTGCCACACAATTATACTAATGCAAAAATGGTACAGGCATCGAAAGCTCTCAATTAATAACTGTGGAAGTGCATCTAGAACACTCAGTTGAGAGCACGCAATAAGCTAATATGCCATAAGCAATAAGCTTGAAATGCGAGGAAGAAGAAGAAGATCCATAAGACATTTTTAAAGATGATTTTTTTCATAATTTTAAAGACTCAAACAATTTGAGATATCCAAAAAGATACAAGTCTTTCATCGAAATTATAGCGCGGCAGGCAATAATCATTTTGATTATTTAAAAAAAAATCGGTATAAATCGGTATAAAACCTCTATTATTGTTGAGTGTGCAACAGGAGCTAATCTAAATTATGTGAAAATGGTATTGAAAACAATCTGGGTGAAAAATGTAGTGCTGTTGTTCCCACTTCGGTGCCAAGATTGAAAATAGTGGGCATGAGCGATCAGTTTTCCTCCGATGTCTTCATTCACTACTAAATCCACGCTTCACTTATAACAAGCTTAGTGTTGTAATTGAAATCGATGTCGATACGTATAAATTAGACTGATGCAAAATTTGACTTTTTCGCTCCACAGTGCTTAAATGGTTTCAAATCGGGTCTTGATTAGCCTCCCAAAGTTACAACTCATTTGATTAGAAACAGACTTCGCACAAGCCATTTGAAGTTTACATGTAAATTACTATGGGAAATCTTAACTTTTTGTTCATTGCCTTCTAGTATTTTTCCATATTGAGCTGCGAGACTGTTCGATAGCCATTCCTATAGAAAATTTTCTCAGCTACAACTTTGCTCCAGATCGTTTCTATGTAAAAAGATACAGGAAAATGTTATTAATTATTTAAGAGATTGGTAAACTTATGACATGATCAAGCAGCTGCTCTGTAGGCAACACTGTATTTTGCAGCGTGACATAGTAGCCATGATTTTTGTGTCCTATTCAACGCCCGAGAAACACCAATGTTGCCTGCTGAGCAGTTGATTGAGCATGATCATAAGACATCAGTGCATTGAACCATTGATATTTTTCGATCCTTGCATTTAATCAAAAAGTAGTCTTGAGCAAAGTTGTAGCTGGGAAAATTTCCTACAAGTAAAGTTGAAAGCTTTTGAAGCAGACCGATATGGTGAATTATTAGATAGACATGAACAAAAATCTTGCTTTTACCATAGTAATTCCCATACAAACTTCAAATGGTTTGTACCATCTCAGCCTCTCACCAAATGGGTTCTAATTTTGAGAGGTTAGTCAGGATTCGATTTGGAATCGTTTAAGTATTGTGGAGCGAAAATTTCAAATTTTGCATCACTCTAGTGGGCATGAGCAATCAGTTTTCCTCCGATGTCTTTATTCACTACTAAGTAAAAGTAGTGAACATGTTTGAAAATCCACGCTTCACTTATAACAAGCTTAGTGTTGTAATTGAAGTCGATGTCGATACGTATAAATGTTTGTTATGTGCGAAAAAAGTACATGTGGGGTTTGATCGGTGCTCGATAGTTCCCGCGATTAATGTGTTGAGATGTTTCAAATGTGGAGAATTCGGGCACAAAAGCAACAACACAAAACATAGTTCAATAGCTCAGTACGCATATGATCAATCTCAAAGATTACTGAACTATTGAACTTTTTCTGTTTTGGTCTATGCTTGCCATAAATTAGCTCTAACTCGAAAAATATGCTGCTTAGCACAAAATTAAACACCTCCATTGGACCACCTAAAAAAATCCTTCTTAATAGTGTCCTTTCTACTTCAAGTAAGCTGCATTAAGCTACAGTTAAGAGATAAACATGTCTAAGATTGGTGTTTTTCTACGTGTTTTCCCTCATTATTTCAAAAGATACGTAATTTTGTTCTAAACACATCATGTTGGATCGTTTATTAATCGTTGCATAAAACATTAATTCAACCCCACCGTGTGTTACTGTTGACGTATGCATGCAGCGCGCACAGCACACTTGATCGCCGCGTGAATTGATTGTTTTCTGCAAACTGCACATACTTCCTTACCAATCAGGCTAAGGCCTTGTTGTCCTCTGCTGTCCGAAGAAGTCGTCTCCACTCTACTCGATCCATGGCCACAGTTCGCCAACCTCGTAGTCTGCGAAGGGTCCGCAGGTCACCTTCTACTTGGTCGATCCACCTTGCCCACTGCGCGCCTCTTCTTCTTGTTCCTGGCTCGTCGTGTGGCATTCTTACGACGTGCCCAGCCCACCGTAGTCGCCCAATTTGTGCAATGTG